GGATTGCATGGAAGTGACATACACAAAATAAAAATGACAATAATAATAATAATAATAATTACTTTACAGTAAACGTGGTAATATTTCTACTCATCAAAAGTGGGCCACGCCCATTTATGACTTTATCCAAATATTTGATGCAACGAATACAAATCGTACAAAAAATAAAAAACATTCTAACGTACCAAATAAACCAAAAATTAATATAAACCAACGACAAAAAATACACTGAAAAACATGTCGACTGTGTGTATGTACATGTACATACAAAATACTTGAAAGTCAGTGAATGCTATATATATATATATGTAATTCATTGGGTTTCCCTCTACACCAATAAATGCCAGAATACCTCCCTAATGGATGCGTATATACACAAATACCTTTAAAAGTGACACGTAGACACATAAAGACATACCAGAGTACATGTACTAGGGGCAAAGTCGAGTTAATAAGCATAAGACTTGCCTTTTAGTTCCTAGCCGTTACAAGAGTCCCTAAAGATTGCCGATACGTGTTCTCCCTCTCGCTTCTTCCTCTTTTCTCTTTCTTTTGACCTAAAAAGACCAGAATCAACCCCCCGAAGATAAGAGAAGGCCACTTAGGTTATTAATAGTTAAGTAAAATTAGTTAGTTAATATTAATAAAAATAATATGAACGTCATAACTTTTTAAATAATGACGTCAGTGATTATGAATTTTAATTAGTTAACTATTATTAAAATCTGTTATTATGACTGCTTAATTACTTTTATTATTAATTTTTTGTATCAACTTTCATTGCCAGGTAGCTTCATAGATAAAGGAAAGCCTGAAGGTTAGTCCGTTTCTCTTCCTTTTTGCTAATTTATGCCAGGGGCAGGTTGCCTGATAGAACAACATGCTCCTCTGTCTCTGTCTCTCTCTTCTCTTCGTCTCTCTCTCCTACGGTGAGCTTGAACATTAAACGGTTTTGTTATTTTTCTCTATCAGCCAAGCGAGCAAACTACATTTCACGACACCTGCTTCTGCTCGTGCTTGTGTGTTTTTCATTCCTAAAAGCCACTCCATTAGTTTATACGCTAGGCAATAGGAGGATTTTATTTAAATTGCCAATAAAAGCACATGTACATTTTTAATTTAAAATGTACATGAATCAATTTTTACATGTACTTATACTTCATACATGTTCTTGTTTCTGTCCCTCATGTAGTGGCTATCATGTCTGTATGCCCTGTGGCTATTAGTTTACTCAATGGGCTTATTTTATTTCATATACAATTTCTTTATTGCATTCATTAACCTTTTTATTTCCATTGTTACTTTTCTCTCTCTCTCTCTCTCAGGATTGAATGATGACCATCCTTTATATCCATTCCTCAATCATTATGAGCACATTGATTACGATGAACATGATCTATTGCATCATCACTATCGTGTCCAGCGGTCAATGTACGGGCCTAGAGAAATTGAACTAAAATTCACAGCATTTGACAGGTAATCAACCAATCACTAATAC